AGTTCTCAGAGACTTCATAAAACAACAAGGACATTTTAATTGGCCGCATCTGAAGTGCATTTCCCTCTTTTATATTCTGATAAGCAATTTATGCACAAGCAACCTACACGTTCATAACAAAATAAACATAGTGAAATCAAAAATTACATCAATAAAACAGTGAATTTGGTTCATGTCTAAAATGTGACATGTGGCTTTAAACTGTATTTAAAGTAATTTAAAACACTTTTTATATGATCCAAAGCACATGGGATTGAAGGGTATAGGGCATGTCCAATCCATGTTTTGCTGCTTAAGCTTAACATCTTCTTTGGTTGGCTTTAAATCATCAAATCATTTTTCCACTCTATGGGTTTTTTTCTGTTGATGCCATCACACCAGGACACGCTCAACCTTCCCTCCTTCCACGACCTGCACCATGCACTTTGGACCATGGGTTATAAATGGCTAAATTAGGGCTCTTAACCAGATTTTTGATCATAAATGTAGTCCCTTGATACAGCTTAGTAAGAAAAGGAATCAGTTATTGTCATTCATATTTGAACTTTGAAGCTGTAATCATCATTTGTCTTTTGGAAGTGAATGGTATGGTTTTTGTGTGATTTGATTAAGTTCCATATAGTAAAAAAAAAAAAGATCAATGGAGCATTTTAGCAACCTCTTTGACTTCATTGTAGGGGCAGACTTCTGCTTTTTTCCGTGAGATATCCTTAATAAACCCACTGTACATTAAACCTATTCTTAAGAAATCCGTGTTAATAGTACAGTAGCTCAGGACCCTTACTGTATAGGACAGTAATATACTATTGTTGTCTTGACATGTCATACTGTCTTTCTTTCCCAGAAAAAAGTGACAGTAGTAATGATAAAAAAGTGCACATGTCGGCATATGTATTCATATTAGAAATAAAAATAAAGTATATTGGGGCGAGGTCAAGGGTGATGAATGATGACCGTCGCATACTTACGATCAATTTCATCATAGCAACAACAAACTTAAGCTTACTAATAAAACTTAACATTGCCGTTAATATTAGCTCAATGAAGTTTGAACATGGAAACAGGTGGTACCGGGATGCTGGAGCTAACTGTTGAGCCTCTCTGAGGTGTCATGGGCCTAACCCAACAAAACACCAGCGTAGGGAGGTTCCCAATTGATACCTTGCTTTTTGGTTGCCAATCTGTATACACTGGTAGGGTTTGGAGGGCCATTAGGAACCATGTGGTAAGTAAGTTTATATCAGCGTTGTCAATACCTGGCTAACTGAAGAAGCAGAGTGAGATTGTTGGATTCCAGCCCATCTTCACCCACTACCAAGGTGCATGAAGGTCTAATTTGTTAATAAAGTTGATCTTCGTACTGCAAGTGTTGCTGGAGCTTTTTGACCTCTTCAATACCTGGCTGATTCATATTAACTGTGCCTGGGTCTGTCAGATGTGGTAATGTGGTGGTCACTATGGGCAAGAAAGCAAACATTGTGGAGCATACAAACACAAATACATTGTGCATAATAAACCATCAACATCCATAATAATCAGTGTACGCATGCACATGCACACAGGGATTTTTAGAAATCAAAGAAAAGCAATTGAATCATTAAGCTAAAGTAACTTACAGCACTTAGATAAAGATTTACAGAAACTACTAATAACAACAACTGATCACATTTATTTTGGCCATTTTTGAGACATTTAGATTTGGTTTCCCATAGTTCTGCATTGCTTACCACCAACTGATCAAACTAATGCTCTCTAGATTTTTTATCTTCAGGGAGTCTAATGAGAAAGGTTACAATCACTTTCTTAAATGACAATGACAGAAAACTAAAATATTTCCTAACACTGAATACAATCTACTTGTATGCTAAGGTGCTAAGATATAATAGGCCCCCAGTTTCTTCTGGGAAACTTGGTGACTGGCGTTCGCATCAATTAAAGGGTTGGCTGACTTATAGGACAAGTTTATGGAAGCAAATCATCGTCATATTTTTCACTGACTACGTCATTAAAAATGTCACTTATTGTACAACGCTTTACATTTACAGTTGAACTGAGTTTTCTGAAATTGAACAAATTAAAATGACCATAACAGAATTACATTTCAGTGCTAATAGTAATAACAATTTTCTATAAGACTTAAGCCATTATGGACTTTTTTTTCCCTTCAGTACAAAGTCCCTAATACCTGTTCTATTCCTTCACATTATGTGGGTAAGAAAAAAATGATTCATGTTTTTTTTTTCTTTCACAGCTGTTCTTTAAGGAAAGCAAATGCTTCTGCGCCTTTTCAAAAAGCTTACAAAGCTTACAATAAATATGCAGAAACAAAGATCTGGGAAAAGATTGATTACCATTTTATATGTCCAGTATTTTAACCCAGGAGGTGAACAGCCTATTTCAGTACAAGGATTTGAAGCAGGAAGAGTTGTTTTCGAACAACTAATGACAATTATAAGTGCCAAGTTTAACTTTATGAAAATATCATCAAGTTTGTGAACATTCATTTTGCCATGACATGTGTAAGAATAGCAATTATTTTTGCTTTCTACATAAGTGAATGATATATTCTTTAACTTCTTCCATTAAAATATTTAAAATATAAATAGACGACTGTATAAAATATTATTTTTTTTTACTTTGAATATCATGTGAATTTATTTACATAAATTAAACTTTCAATCTTAAATATTTTGCTTTAAAAAGTAACTCAACAGAGTGGTCACTTTGTAATCTTCTCAGTTTAATTCTAATAGGACTCCAAAAGTTATGTTTAAAGGAACTAAAAAAAAAAGGAAACATCCCATATTAAAATGTAAAGATAGCTACAGTAGTTGATTTTTTTTTAAACATAAATCCTGTTACCTCTGATGACGCAAATATAGCCAACTATAGCTTGTGATTATAGAGTTACACCATAGGGTGGCCAAAGATCAAGCCCCCCTGGTCATGCCCCTGCATGGGCCAACATCCCAGGATATGTCCCCCTAGGGGTTGTGCCCCATGGTTTGAGAACCACTGTACTAGGGTGTCTCTTTCTCAACTTATCATGGGAGAAATGTAAGGCAAAGAAACTTCCTAACCTGTGTTTCAAAGGAGCTCTTCCTCAACAGTGATAGCTGATAGCATTAATCGTATCTTTTCATTAAGATATATAAAGCTTAAAAGATGTTTTCCTTTCCTTTGAATGAAAAAAAAAAAAAAAAAAAAGATTAAGTATTAACAAGCAAGAAATCAATGAACTGGTTTGAATAACTGAGTTTACAACCTTACTTGCAGGTAAGTATCAAACTCCTTATTGAATTAAGTTAAAAATGTATCAACTAATAACAAATATGCTAGCAGTTAGCTGAGATCAAAACCAAAGTGCTTTATATGTATAATGTCAGAAGAAAAAAACGAATTTACGTGAAAGACGATGTGTCACATTACATTTGTATAAGAATATTTTCCCTTGCCACAGACATGAAATTAATATTTATCTTTTTCTGACCTTTACATAAGCAATCAAGAGCATCAGCAAAACCATTGACTATTTCTAGATTGATATTTTTAAGGCCTCTAAACCCCTGCAGCAGGGTAGGTGTCGGGTGAAGTGATTAACAGCATGCTACAGAAACAGCCTTTTTTTTAATCCTTTTTTTCATGGCAAAGATTCTCAATAAGAGAAACATTTTAGACAGAAAAGAAAGCAGGATGAGAATGTTTTGTTTTTTGGGGAAAAATAACCTCTAAGTGAAATCACAGGTGCTTTAACATCCATGACAGATAACATGAATCTGTTATACTGTGGTGGTAGGTGGCAGGAATCAAAGTTTAGCACACATTCAAATCCAGAGGTATTTACAGAATAGAAAGTTTTGTTCCAATGTTGCAAAGCTAAAATCCACAGTTTTTGAATGTATCTCTTGCTGGTCAGTTAGCATAATCATCACATCATGCACATTTGTTTTGCGCTGTAAATGAATTGATTTACAAATGTTGATTTATTTACAAAACTGTAATGTTTATCAGTATCGTAATAATTATTATAATCATCATAACACGTTTTAATTCACAAGTCTAAAAATTGGCAGCTTGGCTGGAGGCCCAGCACTCCAGAAAATAAAGCTTCAGGCACCATTCTTATGACCTATATCAGCACTGTACGCTTGCTGTTATTTGGAGTGCCTTTTACGTCAGTTGGCACAGTAAAAGAGTATGAAAGGTCATTTTTGGCAGGAGTCTGGGCAACATATTGGTCAAAGAATCACAAGGCTTTCTTCCGCGAAATTGAGGATTGATTTCTCTCTGTAACCGAAAGTAGATGTTAACAAAATCACAGCTTCTTTGAAAAGGGTGACCATGATTCAGGTTAAGGATTACTTAATGATTCTTGAGCGGTCTATACTGTCCTGTGTGCAGTCATTTGAACTCACTCTCATCAGCCACTATGTGTTTATGACCTGAAATAAACAGTGGATCCGAAAATCAAAACCGTCCTATTGACACTATTCAGTGAACAAGAAAACCTTCTGCTCAAGTTTGAGATTACTAAATAAACTGGATGTATCATTTCTCTTCAAGCTGTTGTCAGCCTGCTTTCTAAAAAAAATCTTCTTGCGGTTTCTGAGCTGTTAAACGAATAAACTGGAGAAATCTTTTGCCAGCTAAGAAAACGTAAGCAGTTGTAGTAATAAAGGCTTTTAATACTGTAACTTAATGTTTTAAAGAATCCTTTCAAAACTCAGTAGCGCTTAGCCTCGTCTATGGATATTCTCACTTGGATAGTTGAAATTGCATCACATGCAGTGTTTTAGATAGCAAATTGTTCATCATGGGGGACCTTCACTTCATAAGTGAGCCACAGCTGTTTGTCATAGGATGCAAACAGCACTATTAAATTAGTTTTCTTGACCGATATCAGTAGTTATAACAAATTCATCATCATACTATGGTGATGTGAAACTATTTACATGTTTTCTTGCTTATCTGTGGTATCGTTTGATGGAGGCCAATCTGACTTCTCATTTCCATTCAAAGCTAAACCAAAAGTAGTTGAGCTAATATCGATGAAATGTTCTGCCTTCTTGTCACTTAAGCTTTCTGACTCCTGATGACCACTTCCATTCTGCTTTGATGTCATATTGGTACTTAGGATGGCTTTTCTTGTCTTTCCATTTGTACCATTGCTGCTGGGCTGGGATGTTCGTGGGTCTCGGACAGTGCTGAATCCAGTTTGGATCAGCGACAGCGTCCTCTGGTTTACATCTGGCTGTTGACAACGGTAAAGCCCACGGAATGCAGAGCGGAACTTCTGAGACATGGCGTTGTATATCACAGGGTTTATAGCGCTGTTGGCGTAGATGCATGTCCGACAAAACAGGATGAACCAGGCGTCAAGGTAGGGCGTTGATACAAAAGAGTTAATCAAAACCAGAGTCCGGTAGGGCATCCAAAGAAGAGCAAATAGGATCACCACCACTGCCAGCATCTTTGTCACCTGTATGGATTAAGCAGAGAAAAGGTTAATTACAGTCAAACTGAATGGACTGTTCATTAATGAATTCTTGAGATTTTTTTAAACTACAGTTAAGTGGAACAGCTCTGTTTGAAACTATACAGCAGGTGTGTCTTGCCCTTTTGCACATGTAGACTCCTGAAAAATATGCATATTTTGGGGGGTGGGCTGCATGGGTGAACACACGTTTCCAACTGTTTTACCCTGACTGTATCCAGAATTTTTTCAGCCAGCTCCCCGACTGAAAAATCCTCAAAAGAAAGTAAAGGGTGAGCAAATGTTTGAATGCAGCAGTTATTCAGGAAAATCCCCTGTAAACAAGTGGGGGGATGATGACATTCATATCAATTGGTGCAAAATCAGTGGGATCTTTGAACATGTAATAAAACTGTGTCATTCTCTTGACTTCAGTGTCTTCACATGCTTCAGTTCACAAGGTCAGAATGTTGTCATAACAACAAAAAAAGTGTGGAAGCTGAAGTACTTTTACATTTAAAAAAAACATCTTTAGCCCTCCATGTGATGACACACCTAATTCTTTACAGAGTTTCTGAGTTGTTGTTCCTACTTGAGCAGACTTTTATTTGCATATTTTAAATGGGAAACTCATTTTCCCAATGTGTCTGACACCACATGAACGCAGGGAAAGACAAAGTAGGGCGGGTCATACTTTGCCATCTATAAAAAAAATGTTGCTTGCATTCTACCTGCCTACCCTGTGTCAATACAACCCAATACAATACCCCTCTGTGATAAATTTTTAAAAAAGGAAAGTAAGACAGATTAAGCAAAAAGCCCAAACAAAAATTAGCTTTTATAAAAAACGACTTCTGCTGCTCAGCTAACGAGAGTGATGCTAGCAACATTGGTGCTAGCTAGCAGCTCACAGCTAAAGATAGCCTAAGTCTCTTTGACTGCAGTGGAGCAACAGCCATGACAATCACTATTTTTCTATCAGTAGGACTTAAATGATGTTGTACGTTATGGGAGAGGCAGGGATGGTTTATTGAAGTATTCAACTATTCAGTATAATTCCATTCCATTCAATCTGATAATTTGGATTAACCTGGTCACATTAATTTAATACAAATTGATAGGCTAATTGAATCCAAAGTAATTTTTTCACTTGATGAAACTGAGAAAAAATAATTATAGTTATTTTATTTCAAAATAACATAGTCTCTCTGTTTATTGTAGTAGTATGAAGACAAAACAATCTGAATTGGTAACAGATCTTAATATTACAGATCTGGGTGAATTGGTCCACAGAGGCCTGGATCTGTAAAAATGTACTACTACTCTTCTTCATATTGAGTCAAAATGACTTTGTTTTTGAGGTGGAAAACTGCAAATTGCGGCGGAGATTTTGGACAATGTTGTTTTTTCCTTGTGAGTGAACTTAAGGACCCAACTTAGCTTACATTATTCTCACGAGAGTTAAAAGGTCAAACTAAGAGTCTCAGGGAATAAAAGAAGATAAACACAGTGATAGGAAGCAAAGCCTTAGTGAACTGATTCATAACTCTAAAACCACAACAACAATTTGTAGTAAGCTTTTTCTGATCCCAGGCTCTGTACATGGTCCACGGTGGACCGATTCACTCGGAGAGACAAGGCTGTCAGCAAATGGTACTAAGGTGAGGAAACATGCTTTATCCAAGGCACACACTCAAGCTGTGAAGATGGCAAGAAAACAGAAAATAGCAGTCATTGAAAACGCAATGGGCAATGACTAAGTCCTACACAAAGGAAACAGAAGCTGTGTTTGGAAGTGCCTACCATTTGGCAAAAAAGAAAAGACCCTTGTCTGACAATGAGTCTTATTTAGCTTTGGGAATTGAATTGAAGTAATTTCTTAATTCACACAACAGTGTAACACAAATAACCAGACATGTTGCCACTGCAATGCAGAGCAAAATCGTCTGTAGCGGAAGAGCATCATCAAATAAGACAGCCACCTCGTCTTGAAGTCACAAAGTTGTTTTGACAGTTTCAGTTAAAGCATCAACTCAAGATGAATGCCCTTAATTTTAGATTTCAAGCTTGATGAACTAGAAAAGCATGGCATAGAAGAAGGTTTACTCTGTTGTTTAACTAATGCAGGATTTCAAGCAGAATAGCTTCATGGAAACATTTGTATCTGATTGAGCCAGTGTCATGTTAGAAAATAATAGGTTAAAATTGAGTTTCCCGGGGCTCTGGTGGCGCAGTGGTTAGAGTTCGTGCCCCATGTATGGAATGTATGGAGGCTGTAGTCCTTCAAGCGGGCGGTCCAGGTTCAAATCCGACCTGTGGCTCCTTTGCCGACTCTCTTTCTCCCTGATTTCCAACTCTATCCACTGTCCCATCTCTCTAATAAAGACACAAAATGCCCCAAAATAATCTTACAAAAAAAAATTTAGTTTCCCAAAGCTTTGTGTTTGGTACTATTTGAACCACAGACTTTAATAATTAGATGCAGTTGATATGTTAATCTCTGTCAATCCCTTTAAAGCTATTATGCAGAAGATACATCCTCTGTAAAGTATGTCACATTAAAATAGGGGTGAACTTATGGATGTAGCAACTTAAGCAGAAGTGGTTTAAGGTTATTGGGCTCACTGTTGGCTGTGAATTGGAAGAATCTCGAATGTATGCTGAGTGCTTTCGGACTGTTCATGCTGTTTGTTTATCACTGGGAGCTCTTGAGTAGCATTTTAAGAAAGCATTTTCTGATGAGAACACGAACAAATGAACAAAGTGTCCGATCACTCAAGCTTCAGGCTCTTTCTATAACTCTCCTCAGAGCAGAGCAGAGCAGAGCATCCGCTAAAACGCACAATCAGAGTGATACATTTATTTAAGAGATTGCAGGTAAGAAATAAGGTCAGACTTGGACACAAAGGAGAGTAGGAGTATCAGTTTATATTGGTCAATCCAGGTCAGTTGAAACAAAGTCCAATCTTGAGAAATGCTTGTCTTTCAGAGATGACACCATCAAGGACCTAAACATCCTTCATCAGAGGGAATTGCCATCAAACACCAGCATCCACCATGGTGAAGAAAAGGTTAAGTGACTGTTCAAACAATTGAACTTGTGCCCAGACCAAGAATTGAATGGGAATAGTGAGCCCAAGGACTTAGACCTCTTAACTGTATGAAAAGGATCCCTGTCAGCACAGCAACGTGTGAGAGGAACTTAAGCCATAGGAAAACTAAAAAAATAAACAAGGGGGCAATTTATGTCTTGTTAGTCTTAAACAAATCAAATTTAAGCTTTGCTCACACTTGCACAAAACTCATCCCGAAAGATTTTGGGATGAGCTGCATGTGTGCCAAATATTTAACTTTTTAAACAAATTAACCCATTGATACCTGAACATTGTGGGTATCTTTTTCCTGTTCTCTCTTATTCACACAGTTTTGGTCTATCATTGCAAGAAAACAGATACGTAAGCGCCCTCTCGCATGCACTACCCTCCCGAAAATAATTACTCTGAGGAGTTGCATGCGAGAACACAAGGTCAATTGTGAATTGGACAGACATTAACATGCAATCCCACAAGAATAGTTAATTAAATGTCCACCAACTTGATGTGTGAACACAGCAGGTAATTGGTTTTGAGTAATAGTGATATCAGCCTATTCTTCTCATTCACGCTCTACCCAGGCATCTCCCCTCACCTAAACCAAACAAGATGTTTCCAGTACTGGAAAACATGTCTTACACTGATCAGTCTTTCGCTGTGTGCTGCATGTGTGAAAGGGAACGTCCAGATAATAGCAGGACCATTACATGAGAAAGACTGCGCCACAGGCAATGCACTACAGGAATTAAATGGCCATTACTCAGAGAAGCTGCATGAGGGAACGGAGCCATTTATACAAATTAAATCACACAACTTCCGGACAATCAGGTCGTACAATGTCCTAATCGTTCCTACTCTACATTTACCACACAGCAAGAGGAGGTTGTTGTGTGTGTGAGGCAGAATCCCAACTGCTAGAGATTATTTTTTCGGTGAAGATGAGGGGTAGAGGGGACGGGGGGAACGGGAAAACTGTGTTGTTGACCATGTTGGGGTTGATACAGCTACAACATGAGAATGAAAAATTAATGTGCTGGTGTAATTTTGGACATTTGCATTCACGTGTGTGAAATGGGCTTGAGTGGGTGAAGGTATGAACTCAACAGATATCTGGACGAGTGGGCAAGTGGTTAAAGTCCACAATTCACAGAATGTCACTCTTGTTTGGCTTGCGTCAGTTGCCTGTTAAATTGGTTATCGCTCTTGCATTTATACTATACATACTCATCAATGTTTGTGTTAACTTGAAAAACATTAAATATTAGGGCAGAGTTCATCATCCTGCTGCAGGCTCTACCCAGGTGTCACAATTTTCTTAAACAAACAGCACAGACTGTAAGTGGCCAAAGGAGCCTATTTGGGTTGTTTGTTGTTGCTCCACCCTGGAACATGAACATGAACATTACACGTTTTAGTGCACACGTCACACTCGGCTTGTCACTCACAGCGAGCAGGCAGGGGTGCCTTTTTTCTAGTTTCACGGTGCTCAAAATGAAATAAATAAATCGCATCAGTCCACGCTTCCTCATATGTTGTCTTGGTCGAGGACTGCTACACAGACTTCTTCCAGTAGATAACACATTCTGCATTATCCAGCTGAGTATGTGTGAAAGGAGATATTCAGAACAAATCCGGACCTGTTTGATCTGTGATAGTCCAAATTACATTGGTCATAACTGCCCAAACTCAACTCTGATCTATGCTGACTAATGCTAAGAGCACATTGTACAAGCTTCAGCATTGAAAAAAATGCAGTGTTGTTTGGTTCTTCATATGGTGTGATACAGTGAGCCATTGAAATTGGTTTGAAATGACATTGGTATTCATCCACAACAATCAACAAACTGTGCAGAAATGCTTAAGTAGCTGAACGTTTGTGCCAAAGCTCCAAGGCCCAGCCTAATATGGTTATAA